TCCTACACTGTAGTGTTACTGCTTTTAGATATGAGTTAGGGCAGCACGATTTTGGGGAAAAATCTAATTGCGATTTTTCTGACAAATATTGCGATTCGATTTGTGATATTTGTTTTTAAGCAACCCAACGGACGTTTACTGTCAAATGCGGCCATATCTCCGGCTAGGAAGGTTGCATCAACATGCTCCCGTCTCTAGCACCCCCGCAGCCCAAGCTAGGAGTGAAAGAACTAAACTTACATGAAACTTCTGTTGGGTTGCTTTAAAATCAAGCTTCAGTTTAAGATTCACCCTGGAATAGATGTAAAACATGTGATGGAGCATTACTAACCTGACTCAGACGGTTTGTTTCACCAAACCATCTAGGAAAGCTCCATTGGAAGCCATTTGGAAAGGGCAGGCACTTTCAAAAATACTTGGCAGACGATTGGATCAATCTGTCTATCACCTTCTATCATGGGCCACTTCTGATTGGTTAACAATGACTGGTACATGTGGAGCACAGCACTTCTGATTGGTGTGGATGATTGACACACAAGGCGAAAAAAAAGTTGCAGGCTTTGCGATTTCATAATCGCATCATTTCAAATTTCGATTTAAAATCGATTAATCGTTCAGCCCTAATATGAGTGCTATGTCTCTGCTCTGCTGGAGATGTACATACCCTAGCTTCAGGAGAAACTTCTAGTGTTAGCTGCTGCTGCTGCTGCAGATGTTGCCGTTCCCCCTGAGCCTGCTGCTGCTGTGTCACAGGGACTCCTGAGCATGAAAAAGCAGCAGGGAGGGACGTGAGGAGAGGCTGATGAGGGGTGACAGTGCGTGGGAGTGAAGGAGGCCATCGTGTTTCTCAGAACAGATGGGATGAGTTAGCGAGACCTGAGGCTGAGAGACAGGGCCAGATACACGCTTGTTGAATTAATAACAAGCTTCCTCTGCTAACTTAATGTGAATTAAATGTCTCTCACACAGTGGTGGAATGTTACTAAGCACTTTTACAAACTTACTCGTACTTAAGTATGAATTTTTATTTAATCCACTACATTCATTAGACATTTAGTTACAACACACACATTGTTTTGCAAGTTTAATGCCCGAAAGTCGAGCTTTTTGGCTTCACAAAGCAGCTTTGATAGTAAAGCACCTCCATCGCTGTATCCTTTTCCCTTTATCCACCCATGCCTTGCCCATCTCCATCTCCTGTTGACTTTAATTGCGGGTTGGAATTAATAACGGGTTGGAATCCATAGCTTTACTTCCTTTATTCTATTTAAAGATCGTCATTAGCATTAGCATTAGCTATTCTTCCTGGGGTCCAGACACAGAGTCTAACGCACATACATACTTTAGCCAAAATAAGAACAGCTCATTAAATGAACAAGGCTTATTTCTGTCCTCCTGTTTGATTCTTTACTTCCCAGCATGCACCAGGAGTGCCTCGGATCCTCGTTGGTAACCGGCTGCATCTGGCCTTCAAACGGCAAGTTCCCACGGAGCAGGCGCGGGCGTACGCCGAGAAGAACGGCATGACCTTCTTCGAGGTGAGCCCGCTGTGCAACTTCAACGTCATCGAGTCGTTCACGGAGCTGTCGCGCATCGTGCTCATGAGGCACGGCATGGAGAAGTTCTGGAAGCCCAACAGAGGTGAGCGGGAGGGCATGGGTGTGTGGTCACCGTGATGTTCATTCTTTCTTTCTTTGTGTGTCACTTTTTAGCCGACTGAGGTGTCCATATTTGATTTGAAAATAAAAGATTGTTGGTTTATCCTTTTTTTGTTGTTGTAGTTGACATCTCCATTAGCATTAGCCTTGACTATTCCTCATGGGGTCCGCATTCTGATCATGCTAAATTCAAATAAAGATTTTCAATTAAATAGGAAAATCAAACTATTGCAAGCTGCAAAGAAACAAGGTCTAAAGACTGTGTGCTTTTCACTGAGCCACACCTCCGCAGCCCCTCTCCATTCAGACCTAAACCCACCTGCTGGAATAACACACACTGAAATTCCTTTACAAACACACATTACACAATCTCATGATCCAAAGTGTGTGTGTGTGTGTGTGTGTGTGTGTGTGTGTGTGTGTGTGTGTGTGTGTGTGTGTCCTTCTGGAGGGAACTTTGGGATTTAGCCTTTGCAGACCATTTACATGCACGCACACATTTATAACACACTACAAGAAAGGGTAAGCCCCCAAAAGCATAATAGGGACTCTTTAAATGTATGCATTTTAAATAAAGTTCTAACATTAGTAAGAATATATCCACTTTTTTGCATCTCTATTTCTCTTAATGCGTTTATCAAACCACCATCATACAGCAGTGTTTACCCCTACCTGCGAGTAAACATGATTCGGATTCTAGAAATAAATAATTCGATTAATCACTTTTTTCAAATTGAGGATTAGTTCAAGGTTTTTTTTAAGGGGAGATAGACGGCAGACACTCAAAGCCTTATTCAAACCTGGATGGTTATATTTATCCTTTGTTTTTTAAAGCTGTAGCTCGACATGATCTCATTGTAACGTGTCCCTCCTCTCCGCAGTGTTCAGCCTGCAGGACCTGTGCTGCAGAGCCATCGTGTCGTGCACGCCGGTCCACCTCATCGACAAGCTGCCTCTGCCCGTCGCCATCAAGTCGCACCTCAAGTCCTTCTCCATGGCCAACGGCATGAACGCCGTCATGATGCATGGACGCTCCTACTCCCTGGCCAACCCCGCCGGCGGCTCCAAGGGAAACAGCCTGAAGCGCTCCAAGTCCATCCGTCCGCCTCAGAGCCCGCCGCAGAACTGCACCCGCAACAACTGCAAAATCTCCTAGTAAACGATCAGGAGGCGGTTGTTCAGGATGTTAGAGGAAAAGAGCACATCCCTAAACCTGAAGAGCTGAAGAGCAAGAATGATGGATAAAGGGATGGCTTCCTGCTCTCTTAAAGAGCCTTTCCAGAGGAGAAGCCCCTCCGGATATCAGAGGAGAGCATGGAAAAACATCTGGGTCTCCACAGACCGGACCCCCACGAGAGTCACTGCTGGCGTTTTTAACTACCTGTACAGAACTCTCTCACAAACGTATTTAGTTCCTGGACATGATGCACGCCTCATTGTGTGTGTGCATCATAGAGATCACCTCAACATTCTTCACTTGTATGTCTCACATTACCCTCTTTCTTCTGCTTAGAAGTCCACACCCAGTTTATTTGCTGTTTTAATGACCAATAAGCTAATGATCAAGACACTAGTAACCAGTCAGTCATTTCATTGATCATTGTTTCTCCTCAGCTGGCTATAACGGTTCTGTTTGAAAACTCACGGGCGAATTCACAAAGAATGGATTGTGGCTGCTGATGGCAAAGTCCCTCACTAAAGATAACACGGCGCTAATATGATCACAGCACACCACCAATGTTTTGCACTTCAGTGCATTTAGCTATTTGTGACATGGATACAAGGCAGAAAGAACATTTTAAAAATACATTTCCAGGCCGTGGGCTGCAGCTCCTGAAACACAAGATGCAGTCATTTTTTCAGAAGCTTCATGCAAGGAATGTCAATGTGACAAAGAGAAAGCGTGTCAGGATTTAACCACCAACTCTCTGAAGTTATCATTTCACTGAAACGGCTTGTGCGATGATCTTTGTGGACTCTTTTGGCAGGCCTACGAAAAGGCCAGTTTTGTGCCAAGGTTCTGCACATGACCACATTTAAATATGTTCAAATAGCACAGCAGCACATTCAAACCACTGCGAAAGGGTTAACAAGGACATCTTTCTCTTTGTCTTATATGAGCCGCAGAAGTCGTGCAATCCTTTTTGTGAATTCACCTCGTTTTGCCTCGGAGGTTAAAACTCTCTCTAAAGGGAAATCTTGGCGACAACCTGAGTGAGGGTTTAACAGCCGGTGTCTTCAGGACCACCTTTAAAATCGTTTAAAAGACGCAGCCTGATCCGGATCTCAGGTCCGGACATGCTGGTGTGCAGGAGTCCATTTCTGAATATTCCCATAGAGATGTCAATATAAACACAAACTGCATTCGTGATGAGTCCGTTCACCTGCAACAAACTGGGCTTAAAGGAAGAAGAAAAAACACCAAATTCCCCGTTTCTCTCATTAGAGTTTATTTTCATGTTTTATTGTTTACACAACCACTTTCCGCGGCAAGGGATCCAGCGATGCTTGTTGCCATAGATACCACTCAATACTTTTTTTGTGAAATATATATTTTTTAACTCGCATCCACTTGGAAGAAAAACAGTAGTTGATCGCAGGATGTTGCGGTTCATTTTATATTTCTCATATGTGTTGATAAATCCCATTACAGCAAATAGCGGGGGTATGGGGGGAGAATATCACTTTAATTCTCCTGTTCTCTGCACTGTGTAGAATTTCCCCCATCCCTCCCAGCCGTGTTTTCCATACATTGATTGGTGGAGCGAGAGGAAGTGCAGATATCTGGGGAGGGGGGGTGTAGCTGCTAAGCATGGTGTCGGGGAGAGTGGAATGTCTGCAGTGTGTACAGTAAACAGCGCCTGTGTTTACCACTCTTCTCTGAATGTCACTCAGTCCCCTTCAGCCTCGTCTGCTGCAGTATCTCCCTATACGGCTAAACGGCTGCTTTAGTGATCAACATAGTGTTAAATACTTTATGAAGAGAAAGCAGTGTAAAGTAGAATTCATAATAAAAGCTTCCATTAGGTTAACATTTGTTCCAGAAGATAAATAGTTTCAAATATTTTCAGACAAACCGGAGGAAAAGGGCATACGATGGGGACTATTTTCAGTGGCATTCAGGACCAGTGGGAAACGGCAGATACGAGTTGTCAACATTGTTCAACAGCGAGAAAACATTGGCTCTGATTTGTAGGGTTAACGGTGTTGGACACACGGGTTCTTCCGAGTCCCTGATATTTAATCTCACGGGAATGAAAGCAGCATTTCTTCTTCTTCTTCTTCTTCTTCTTCTTCTTCTTCTTCTTCTTCTTCTTCTTCTTCCCTGCCTCTGATGTACACCTCGCCTCTGCATGCTGTCCCATGATTCATAGTTGCTGAATAATAGATGCTCTTTTTGTAGATCTCTGGAGGGCTTCATCAGTCCGTCTCTTTCATCCTCCTCTCAGCTCTACCTCGTTTTCTCGATAACACAAAGAGTGAGCTGCTGCTGCTGCATACACTTTCCCCTCAGGTGTTCAGTGTTTTTTCTACGGAGGCCATGGACAGAAAACACATGGACAGAAAACACATATATATATATATATATATATATACACATACACATACACATACACACATATATATATGTATGCATGTAAATGGTTCGATTAGTCTTTCGCCCCTATACCCAGGTCGGACGACCGATTTGCACGTCAGGACCGCTATATATATATGGAGGTTTTAAAAAATAAGGACTGAACTTGGGGCTCAAAACGATCAATCACTATATAGTCATAACGATATTAATACTACATTCTCTGGTAATATAATTATTACTTTTTTTCTCATTTTAAGTTTAGTGCAAAATGAAAATGATGTTGATAAATGAATATCGGCCCAGCGTAACACGCGATTGAAGCAATATTGAAAACTGCCCTCAACATATGTACATATTTCAACGGTGTTCTATATATCATAATATTGCCCGGCCATAACTCCAGCTTGTTGCCAAGATTTCCAGAAGAGCTTCCCCTCTCTGTGTTTCATCCTTGCAGACTTGTTTTGTGTTATATTGTACATCCAGCCTCTGTGTGTTATGTGATAATAACACACATTTTTCTCCATGTTTTGGTTCCACACCTCCCTTTTGATTTTTTTTTATGGACTTCCTCCTCAGTGTTTGCTGACTCTGCTTAATTGTGTTTCTCCTGAAATGAGTTTCCATTTTGGACTTTTAAAAAAAAGAAAAAAAAGGATGGTGGAAGGTTCCGGACCAGATATTGTGGAAGTGTTTGTACAAAGGAGCAGACTGTTGTGATAATGATGCGAACAAAATGTAAAACACTATTCTGGTTTATGGCTAAAGCTGCTGAGTAATCTGAAGCAAGTGTGTGTGAGCAAGAGAGAGTGTGAGTGTGTGTGTCTAGGTGTGTTTTGTGAGAATGTTCCTTTTAAACACAAAGCTGAACATTTTCTTTCTTTTTTTAAATTATTGATTGTACAGTTTTAA